GGAAGAAGGAGGAAGAAGGAGGAAGAAGGAGGAAGAAGGAGGAAGAAGGAGGAAGAAGGAGGAAGAAGGAGGAAGAAGGAGGAAGAAGGAGGAAGAAGGAGGAAGAAGAGGAAGAAGAGGAAGAAGAGGAAGAAGAGGAAGAAGCGGAAGAAGAGAAGAGACGAAGACAGAGCCGTAGATCAGAAGCAGCTTGAGCAGCAAGTGCGTGCTTGAACAACCTATGAACCGCATACCAAATGAAGGTCGATCAGTTTAGCACAGTTTGTGTCCTGTGGCTAGTACCGGTAGACGACTGTAGTGGCAGACAATGGCATTAGCTACCGGTACTACCAGTTTAGTACTTGGGGAAGATGGGGAAGAAGGAAGGAGTATAGGAGTAGGAGTGGGGGTAGGGAGTAGGAGTAGGAGTAGGAGTAGGAGTAGTAGTAGTAGTAGTAGTAGGAGTAGGAGTAGTAGTAGTAATAGTCGTAGTAGTAGTCGTAGTAGTAGTCGTAGTTATAGTTATAATAATAAGAATGATAATAACAAAAATAAGAAGAATAGGAATAGGAATAAATAATAAATAAAAAAAATTAGGTCGAATAAAAATATTTAATATATTAAATATATTAAAGGAAGAATATATATTTTAATTATAATATATATATATATGAACAATGTCCTTTATTTGGTTAAATGATGAATAATATTGCGGGGTATGTCGGTTTGTCGAAAATATCGTAATTAGGTTATAAAACGAGGTAGGAATGCCTTAAAAATAAAATAGGTATCGTATATAAAGCATTTTGCTATTAAAAATAAGTACGGTATTGGAAAACGAGGTTAGATTTTAAAAAAATTACGGGATTGGAAAATGAGGTAGGAATACTTTGTTAATTGCGATTTTGTACCAAATAATTTTCGCGGTTTATATATTTAAGTTATATAAATAAAACAAATTAAAATTTAGGTAATTTAATATTTATAATAAGGATAATTTTTTTTTGAATTTATTTATTAAAAATAAAAAAAATAATATTATTTTTATAAAATTAATATAAAAAAAATAATTTATTAATACTAATATTAATACAAAAATTATTTAGGAATAATTATTA